AAAAAAAAAAAAAAAGGATCCAGGATTTTTCATTACCCATGCATGTCACTCCAAGTCATATAGATAGTCCCCTGAATGTGCAAGAGGCAGAAGGTCAGCTCTGCCTTTTAAAAGGATACTGTTGACCTCAGGAAAAGGGAAACAAGAAACAGGGAGTTCTCTTTAGAAGTGTCAGGGAGGAAGAATTCCTGTCCTCTCACAAGTCCTTCTAGCTGGACTCAGAATTGAATTGACATGAGACAGATTCACACGAGAAAAATAAAATTTAATAGCGTACGTACAGGGAACCCACACAGACATGGAAATTCCAAAGACAGTCAGGCAAAGTGAGGTCTATATGTCATCTTGAACTAAGGAGACGGGGGCAGGGGTCTGGGACTTCAGTGGAAAGGAATGCACTTCACAGGCCAATATGAAGAACAGATGTTTGGTATTTTTTTTTTTTAAGATTTTGGTTTTTTAAAGTAATCTCTACACCCAACTTGGGGCTCAAACTCACAACCCCGAGACCAATAGTCAAGGGCTCTACCGACTGAGTCAGTTGGGCACCCCAAAAGTTTGGTAATTAGATGTTCACCCTGTGATACGGATGGGTCACTCAGACAAGATTTATCTCTGCTAATAATCCTTATTCTGGGAAAGTCGCCCAACTTAGATTCTTCTAGGTTTGTAAGAGGGGCAAAATTTTCTCTTGAGCCTGTGGGATCCCAATTGCCTTCAGCTCAGAATAATCCATCATGCCAAAGGGTCCATCTTGGGGTAGTCTGCCTTCACCCCTACAGAAGGAATGCTCCTCATTATTCTAAAACTGAGCTGGTCAACCCCAGGTTAAGAAAAGCCAATCATATGAGAATTCCATAGGTAGAAAACATACTTAATGCAGTTTGGGGTGGTGCAAAGAGCTCTCTGCTAGGAAGGAAAAGGCTTACGTTGAATAAAAAATTCTTATTTTCACTTTAAAACTACATAACTGTGTGATCTCAGGCACCTCTCCTTTCTGGGCTTCAGCTTCCTTATGTATGAAGTGAAGGTTTGGGATAAGATAAAATTTAAGAAACTTTTACCTCTAAAACCTTATAATTTCATAGCAGCCTAATTGAAGTGTTCAGAAAGGGATTCCTACATGAAAGAGAAAATAATTCTTTTTTGTTTTAACAGCTTTTATCTTGGACAGGGAGAGAATTTTAGGTTTACAGAGAATTGAGCAAATAGTACGAAGAGTTCCCATAATCCTCTTCCCCTTTCATACTTTCTCCAATTACATTTGTAAAATTTGTTACAGTAGTTAACAATTGATGAACCAATATTGAAACCTTATTAACTAAAGTCCATAGGGTAATTAAGATTGTTTTTTTTTTTTAAGATTGTTTTTTAAAAATGGGAACAACAGGCCTAAAATGGAATCCCTTGCCCCCATTTTGGCAAACCAAGACCTAACTGCAGGAATGAGACCTTTAACCAGTCAATCTGGAATTTCCTGATCAGCGCTAGCGAGGTAGACCCTGGCCCTGGCCCAAAGGAAGGTGACCTTACCTGGAATAATCCTTCCTTTGCTTTTACTAATAATTTCCTTGTCCTGCCCCTGTTTCTGCCTATAAAGTTCTTCCATTTTGCACAGTACTCAAAGCTCCTTTCTACTTGTTAGATGGTATGCTTCCAGATTCATAAGTTCTTGAATAAAAGCCAAATAGATCTTTAAATTTTCTCAGTTGAGTTTTGGTTTTAACACATTTGGTGGCAGCAGTAGGATCCAAAGCGGACTTCTGATGGTATTTGGAAACAATGAGAAACACGGGCATAGTACTGGTAGAACACCGTGAGGTCTCTTTCTCACTGTTTCTCAGGATAAGTTCTCTCGGTTCTCAGCTCTGCTACCTGTCTCATTGGCTTTCCACCGTTCCCTATTTGGTTGGAAATTCCAGCCCCTGCTTTTGTCCCCAGATCCCGAGATTTCACATCGGATACTCCTGGTGGCGGCTGTGGTTCCCCATTTGTTTTTGTCGTTGTTTAAATCAGACTACAGTCTTCATTCTTTGGAGTCTGCTGGTTCAGGTCTTTCCCCAGTCCCCAGATTCCACATGGAGAACTTGGTGGTTACTGGCTGAAGATGGACTGTGCCCAACATGGGTACCAGAGCCAGAGTGGGTTTGGGATCAGACCGAGTCTGACTTAAGCTGGGTCCAGTAAGTATGGGCTATTGCTAATGGGAATCTCAGAAGCCAAAAGAGCCACAAAATTGGTGGTCATAAGTCAAACATTTAAAAGCTGTTAGAGTACTGGCCACCTAATTCAAATAGTCCTGTGTTATGATAAGTTGGCCATGGAATGGATTAGATAGATACTAGGTAAAATTTGCGTGCAATGAGGTACACACAATCCCCAACCCAGAGGCACATCTGTTTTAAGTACTAATCTGGCTTCAAGAGACACAGAAACTCTTAGCTAAAAGAAGTGGGATTTTTTAAATCTATAGTTAAGCACAGGGTGCCTGGGTGGCTCAGTCGGTTGAGCATCTGCCTTTGGCTCAGGTCATGATCCCAGGGTCCTGGGATCGAGCCCTGCATCGGGCTCCCCTGCTCAGTGGGGAGTCTGCTTATCTCTCTCCCTCTGCCCCTCCCCCTGCTCGTGCATTCTCTCTCTCTCTCTCTCAAATAAATAAATAGTTAAGCAAACTACTTCCAGCATACCTGCTCATTTTATGTCTAAAAATGATAATCCCAGAAAGCTGTAGATATCTACAAAAGTGGCAAAATCTTACTTAAAAACCTAGAATTTACAATGGTCATTATGGGGAATATGCCAACTGGTAAGATTTAGAAGTTCCTGAATTAAACCAAATGGAATACCTATTTTAACTGGTATGCAGAAGCTTCCAAGATTTCAAAATTGAAATTTTGAATCTCATTGAAAGAGTCATTACAAAAGGCTAATGAAAAGTTAAAGGCACAAGAGGTACCTGAGACAGAAGACAGACTCATGTGACCCTTCCTACTTCCTCTATCCTTTACCAGAGTGCTCCCGGTCCCCTAATCCTCTCTCTGAATTGCCTTTCCACTCTAAAGAGACTATTAAGTAGTTACCTTTTAAAATAAAAACACCTGAGGTTGCAGGAGGCCCTCTTTAGACACCTTTCACTCCTTGGTCAAAGGTGAAACTTAGGGCTGTAGGCAAAACATTTTCTAAACCTAGGGAGGGAGGATCCCAGAAGTTTTTGGAAGAACTTCGAGTCATTATCAGGACTTATGCTCCCAGGCTGCCGGATCTTTATCAGCGCATGTACATGTTGGTAGGACCTGGTGAAGCCCAAAAATGGATGCAGGAAGCAAAATTGGCAAAACCCCAAGGATGATATTTGAGATCCTTGATCTTCAATACGTTTCCCTCATGGACCAGCCAAACCTGGCAAAAGAGCAATCGATCTTTTATTAGCCATTCGGAGCGTCTTCCCTAACTGCATTGATTGATCTAATATCCACACATGCAAACAAAAGAAAGATGAATCTGTGGCCGACTTTAAGACCTGTTTGGAAGCTCTCTTCCGATGGCTTTCTGGGTTCCGTACAACAAAGAAGGTCACCCAACCTGCTCTAGCTGCCCTACTTGTAAATGGATTAACTCCTGAGATTAGTGGATTGGTAAAAGGGCAGAAAATGAGACGGGAGGCCACCAGCCTGACTCAACTCATGGCCACAGCTGAGTACTTTGAAAAGACTTTGGAACAACAATGTAAACAAAGGTCTGCCAGCTATTTGCTTCAGAGCCACGCCAGCTCCAAGATGATGTAGGAGATGTTAAGGTTTGAAGCCGACGGCCAAGAAAGAATTCTTGAGACGTCTGTGGTACAAAAAGGTGATTTTATTAAGGCACAGGGACAGGACCCGTGGGCAGAAGGAGCTGCACCGGGGTCATGAGGAGTGGCCCTTATATACTTTCAAGTTGGGAGGTGGTTAGGGATAGCGTAAGTCTCTAAGGAATTTTGGAAGCAAGGTTTCCAGGACCTTGAGCCAGCTAGCTATTGTTGGGAAAATGTCATTTATTACATTCGTAAAACCCGAGTCATGAGACCCTTCAGATGTATATCGGTGGGTCACAGGCTTGGGAAGACCATTGCCAACATGTATCTTGTGGGGTAGAGATAAAGGAAGATTTCCAAAAGACTTTTTATATGTTAAAATAGACTTACAGGGGGCGCCTGGGTGGCTCAGTTGGTTAAGCGACTGCCTTCGGCTCAGGTCATGATCCTGGAGTCCCGGGATCGAGTCCCACATCGGGCTCCCTGCTCAGCAGGGAGTCTGCTTCTCCCTCTGACCCTCTTCCCTCTTGTGCTCTCTGTCTCTCATTCTCTCTCTCTCAAATAAATAAGTAAAATCTTTAAAAAAAAATAAAAAATAAAATAAAATAAAATAGACTTACAGGATCCTGGGGGTTGGGCTAAGATTGCCTTTTGCCCTTAGCAAAGCATTAAACTCAAGGCAGTTGGGTCCCTAGAGGAATGTCTCTCTGCCTGTTTCAAGGACTTGTCAATGGACTGTAGATAGTAAGGAAATTTAGTAGTTTTTCTTCTGCCTGTTTCCCACAACACAAGGCACTTGGAATAACAGCTGGGCCTCCCCCATTGCACCCTCCTAGGGGTCCATCATCAAAATGCTGGTCCAAGGATCAATATCCCAGCTGTAATCAACTGGGACACTAGAAAAGAGATTGTCTCAAAGGTCCTGTGCAGATTCTTTAACATCCACTTCTATACCCCCATATCTATCCTGGAAGGAGGACACTTCCCAAAGTTAATGGGATTCTGAGGGATTTTACTGGTCAGATGCTACCTTATTTCCTTAAATAGCCAAGGGGAAACAAACTAAAATTCATGGTTGTGCAATGCTGCCAGAAATATTGACTGTGCTGGCTGAAAACTGACAAGATTTTTGGAGGAATTTAGGCGCCTGGGTGGCTCAGTTGGTTAAGCGTCTGCCTTCGGCTCAGGTCATGATCCCAGAGTCCTGGGATCAAGTCCCACGGCGGGCTCCCTGCTCAGCAGGGGGTCTGCTTTTCCCTCTGCCCTTCCCCCTTGCTCATGATCTCTCTCTCTCTCTCTGCTCTTAAGTCTTTTTTTTTTTTTAAAGATATTTGGAGGGATTTAATAACTCTATGATCAGAAATGTAGCCAAATTGGAGGCTGATATACAGAGCCTGATAGGAATATTTTTTTAAGGCCTTCTCCCCTAAGCTAAATATATCCAGTGGGCAAGGAAAACATTCTAACATAGGCGAGTGGGTATGTTAGTCCCTGATATCCTTTAGGTGGCAACACAATTCTTTGAGGAATTAAAGACAGCTGTGTGTAGTTTTTTGTTTTGTTTTTTTTTTTTTTTACAAATCTAGTCTTTACAGGACAAGAGATGGCAGCTCTAGAAACAATTCAAAGTCTAACAGTCCTTTTTACCAACCCCCCAACATTCCCCCTATTTATCTCAAAAGGTGTGTAGGAACTTTTTTTCTGTGCCTTTGTGATGTAAATATTCTCCTGGGATCCTACCCAGAACTCTTATCTAGACCATCTCTTTGATACCCAAACTTATGGGAGGTAATTCTTATCAAAAGAAAAACAAAAGGGGGAAAAGGTCATTTGGAACTTGACTTGTTGTGGACAAATCTTTTTTTTTTTTTAAAGATTTTATTTATTTATTTGAGAGAGAGAGAGAATGAGAGATAGAGAGCACGAGAGGGAAGAGGGTCAGAGGGAGAAGCAGACTCCCTGCTGAGCAGGGAGCCCGATGCGGGACCCGATCCCGGGACTCCAGGATCATGACCTGAGCCGAAGGCAGTCGCTTAACCAACTGAGCCACCCAGGCGCCCGAGGACAAATCTTAAGTGTCTTCACCGCAAATATTAATACAAAAAGCTTTAATCATCTGAGCAGATAAGCTTAATCTAGCCTCTCTACCAGAAAAACAACTTAGATCCAACTTCTTTTTTAACTAGTGAGTTTTGTATTATTGTACTTAATTCATGGCAGTAATTTTGAAGTGGAAGCTAAAAGGCCTCTGTCTACGACTGTTTGTGGCTGTCCGTGTATATATGTGTTGTAGATATATGGTATTTTCTACCTTCAGATGGTATTGCCGAAATTAATTTGTAAAAGAGCTCTATTTAGTTGGCCTAAAGAAAATGAAGTGCTTATATAAATTGAATTCTCAAAAATATGATAGAAACTAGCCCTGATGAGTTCAGATTTACATGATCTGGGAAAATATTCAATATTAAAGCTAGTTCTGTTTTATTGGTTTAATTAAAACAGGTGTCTTTTTAAAAAATTTAAATAATCTCTACACCCAACGTGGGGCTCCAACTCACGACCCTGAGATCCAGAGTCATACTGTCTTCGACTGAGCCAGCCAGGCACCCCAAACAGGTGTGTCTTTAGAGTTAGCATTAAATAGAGTACTTTTATTCTACGTAGGCTTACTAAAAGTCTGTTAACCTTAAAAATAGACACTACCAGTTATTTTAACCAGCAAAAGATGGGATTATTTGGGGAAAAGAAGAATTGCGGTATGGGACAAACAAGCTGCAGCAAAACCACAGGCAAGTCCAGGGAACCAAGGAGAGGCACGCTTTTTGAGGAGAAAATGGGTAAATTGGGAAGTCTGTTATGAACTAAGAGACCATTGGAGTAAACTGGGAGTTCACAGTGTGGTGGTTTCTCACTGGCAGAGCTGTTGCCCAGGGGGATGAGGAAAACCTCTTTTCCTCTGGCTGGAGTAGTATCCATGTGCAAGGTCAAGTCCATGTAAGGTCAAGTCGATCTCTTCCTGTTGGGTCTGCAATTGACTACGAGTGGTAGGGAGTGAGAACTCCCCCTGCTCAAACCTCACAGCTTCATTTTAATGACTTTCCCATTACCAGTTTTCACAGGTCAAATAAGTTCATGTTATCTCTGTTGCAAAATTTGTCAGCAAGGAAATTAGCTTGAGATGATGGCTTACTTTGTCTAATGTCTCATGAAGTTTTTTTGAGTAGTCTAAACATACTTGTTGGGAGCAAATGATTTAGATAGATATCAGCGGTCAAGCTCTATTCCAAAGCTGTAATCATCAAGACACTATGGTACTAGGACAAAAACAGACACATAGATCAATGGAACAGAATAGAAAACCCAGAAATGGACCCTCACCTCTTTTTTTTTTTTTTTAAGATTTTATTTATTTATTTGACAGAGAGAGACACAGCGAGAGAGGGAACACAAGCAGGGGGAGTGGGAGAGGGAGAAGCAGGCTTCCTGCTGAGCAGGAAGCCCGATGTGGGGCTTGATCCCAGGATCCCAGAACCACGACCCAAGCTGAAGGCAGACACCTAACAACTGAGCCACCCAGGCACCCCTGGACCCTCAACTCTATGGTCAACTAATCTTTAACAAAGCAGGAAAGAATATCCAATGGAAAAAAGACAGTCTCTTCAACAAATAGTGTCGGGAAAGTTGGACAGCCACATGCAAAAGAATGAAACTGGACCATTTCTTACCCATACATAAAAATAGACTCAAAATGGATCAACGACCCAAATGTGAGACAGGAATCCATCAAAATCCTAGAGGAGAACACAAGCAGCAACCTCTTCGACCTGAGCCACAGCAACTTCTTGCTAGACACGTCTCCAAAGGCAAGGGAAACAGAGGCAAAAATGAACTGTTGGGACTTCATCAAGATAAAATGCTTTTGCACAGCAAAGGAAACAGTTGAAAAAACTAAAAGACAACTAGCAGAATGGGAGAAGATATTTGCAAATGACGTATCAGATAAAGGGCTAGTATCCAAAATCTTTAAAGAACTTACCAAACTCAACACCCAGAGAACAAATAATCCAATCAAGATATGGGCAGAAGACACGAACAGACATTTCTCCAAAGATGACATCCAAATGGATGTCAGACTCATGAAAAAATGCTCAACATCACTCAGCATCAGGGAAATACAAATCAAAACCACAATGAGATACTACCCCACACCAGTCAGAATGGCTAAAATTAACAAGTCAGGAAACGACAGATGTTGGCGGGGATGCGGAGAAAGGGGAACCCTCCTATACTGTTGGTGGGAATGCAAGCTGGTGCAGCCGTTCTGGAAAACAGTATGAAGGTTCCTCAAAAAGTTGAAAATAAACCTACCCTACGACCCAGCCATTGCACTGCTGGGTATTTACCCCAAAGATACAAATGTAGTGATCCGAAGGGGCACCTGCACCCCAATGTTTATACCACCAATGTCCACAATAGCCAAACTGTGGAAAGAGCCAAGATGCCCATCGACAGATGAATGGATAGAGAAGAAGTGGTATATATATATACAATGGAATATTATGCAGCCATCCAAAAATGAAATCTTGCCATTTGCAACAACGTGGATGGAACTAGAAGGTATTATGCTAAGTGAAATAAGTCAATCAGAGAAAGACAATTATCATATGGTCTCACTCATATGTGGAATTTAAGAACCAAAACATAGGATCATAGGGGAAGAGAGGAAAAAATAAAACAAGACGAAACCAGAGAGGGAGACAAATCATAAGAGACTCTTAACCATAGGAAACAAACCGAGGGTTGCTGGAGGGACGGGGGTGGAGGGATGGGGTAACTGGGTGATGGACATTAAGGAGGGTACATGATGTAATGAGTACTGGGTGTTATATAAAACTGATGAATCACAGGCCTGTACCTCTGAAACCAATAAGACATTATATGTTAATTAGTTGAATTTAATAAAAAAATTTAAAAAAAGCACTAGTACTTTTTTTTTTTTTAAAGATTTTATTTATTTATTTGAGAGAGAGAGAGAATGAAAGATAGAAAGCATGAGAGGGAGGAGGGTCAGAGGGAGAAGCAGACTCCCCGCCGAGCAGGGAGCCCGATGCGGGACTCGATCCAGGGACTCCAGGATCATGACCTGAGCTGAAGGCAGTCGCTCAACCAACTGAGCCGCCCAGGCGCCCAGCACTAGTACTTTTAAGACTAAATATAAACAACATGAGAGAAACAATTGTGATACAACAAAGTTTTGCCTGGTGTTCATATTCTCTTATAGCATATTATAGTAGTAATAACCATGAGGTTGTATTGATAACTTCATGTTTATGTTAATAACCTCTTGGTTATTAAGATGTTTCAATTTTCTTTTTTTTTAAAGATTTTATTTATTTATTTGTCAGAGAGAGAGAGAGCACAAGCAGGGGAACAGCAGGCAGAGGGAGAAGCAGGCTCCCCGCTGAGCAAGGAGGCCCATGCAGGACTCGATCCCAGAACCCTGGGATCATGACCTGACCCGAAGGCAGACATTTAACCGACTGAGTCAGCCAGGCATCCCTGAATTCTCTTTAAAAACCTGAGTTTCAAGAGGTTTATTTTATTATTTTAAAATGGATTTTTTTCCCCAGAGGAACAATATCGCCCCTTCCCCATTAAATTCATCTATGATTTGAATGTGTATGTGCATACATGCATAGGGGTAGTTGAGGTAGGAATATCACTAATTAAAAATCACTTTGTAGAAAAAAAATACTTATTAAGGGTATTTAATGGTGGGGGAAATAAAACATAACATTGAATGATAAAAGCTGGTTATAAACTTGAAAAAAATAGATTTCAGTGCAATAAAAGTTTATAGGAGCAGTAATTACGGTTATGGTAGATGTCTTTTTTTTTAAGATTTTATTTATTTATTTGACAGAGACAGAGAGAGAGGGAACACAAGCAGGGAGAGTGGGAGAGGGAGAGGCAGGCCCCCCGAAGAGCAAGGAGCCCAATGCAGGGCTCGATCCCAGGACACTGGGATCAGGACCTGAGCCAAAGAAGGCAGACAGACGCCCAAAGACTAAGCCACCCAGGCACCCCCTGGTAGATGTCTTTAAAAATAGCTTCCAGGGGCACCTGGGTGGCTCAGTTGTTAAGCGTCTGCCTTTGGCTCAGGTCGTGGTCCCAGGGTCCTGGGATCGAGCCCCACATCGGGCTCCCTGCTCAGCGGGAAGCCTGCTTCTCCCTCTCCCACTCCCCCTGCTTGTGTTCCTGCTCTCGCTGTGTCTCTCTCTGTCAAATAAATAAAACCTTTAAAAAAATAAATAAAAATAGCTTCCAAAAATCTTTTATGTGGGGTGTCCCGATCAGATAAGGGGCCACCAAATGTGGGGCATCCCAACTGGGTGGAGGCCGATGGGTTGTGCTCAGTGAAAGAATT